AAGTTCCAGGAGAACAAGGACTTTGTCTTGATCATCTTTGTGTTGTCCTCAATGCCTAGACCAGGACCTGGCACATAGTAAATGTTCAATAAATACTTGGGAAGGAATGAATAAAAGATGGGGTTTAATTAACCAGGACCAATCTTCCTCCACATCTTACTAAGTGTTCTCTACCGCGAGTGGCTTCTTCCCCCATGATCCCTGGCACCCAGTCTGTGACCATACAAGTCACACACCCTGCAGACCTCAAGCCTTGTGTTGGGCCTTCTCTCCCATGTCTCTCAGGAACTCTGGATCCTTTTTGTCCCTCTCACTTCACGTTTCAAGAAACCAATTGTTTTCACTGACTCCACACCAGACTTGTCCAAACCCCATGAATGGAGTAATCTTTGCCCCAGGGAGTGAAAGTCAGGAATAAAAATAAAACACACACCAGGGAGTAGGGCTGAGTTTATGGTATTCACAAGAACATCTGATAGCTCTCCTGTGACTCATCCATTTATTTTAATGATATCAGATAATGACAGTCTGTTGAATCAAAAAATGCACATTATTTATCCCATAATGGTGAAGTGGCACTGTAACACTGTTTTAAAAACCATCTTAGAAGTTTTTTCTTAGAAACTTTTGTTGAGTTAGAGAAATAAGCTTTGCCAAATGCCCAATTCTGTCTTTCTTGTTCTGGCTAGCTGGCATCTTGCACCCACTTTCCCCAGGCATTTCCTTTGGCACGGTCTGAATCTGACTAGAACATAAGGGTAAGTGCCACCAAACCAGGCACTGCCCCAGCTTCCCAGCCGTCCAACTGCCCTGTGGGGGAAGGGGGGAGGATACTTTTCTGGCCACCTAGAAGGTATCAATGGGGTCTGTCTCAACTTTCACTCTTCCTGGATGCTCACAGTGGAGTAGCAGGAAGAAAGATGGCCTGGGTAGACTTCTGGGTCTGTTCCTGCCTCTGGTGTTAATTTGTTGGATGACCTTGGTCTCTGGTTAGATACTCCCTTTCTCTGATTCTCAGGTTTATCCCTCACCAGGGATTCTCTCAGGTTCCTTCAGCTTGAGGCCCTGTGAGTTTTGAGGGGCAGGTCCACTAAAGCTAGGGGCTTCTCCTCCCAGCAAAGGCGACAGGTGGCTGCTCGACCATAGGGTTCAATCTGATGGTAGCTTTGTACCTGGTGGAAGGCGAGGTTAGCTCCATCCCCCTCCTGGCTGCTCCTGGGTTCCGAAGGGTCATTCTGGGGGATTTCCCCTCTTTCTCTGGCCCTAGGAAATCTCCCTCTCTTTCCTTGCCCCTCTTTTCCTTGTCCTGTCCTCCTTCTGAAGCGTCAGACTCAGCTTCCCTTCTGAAATTGAAAAGGCGAAGCCATCTTCTACACGGGCCTGTTGGTACATCAGTGACGGCAACAGCGATAGTAGTAACAGCTGACATCGAAGGTTGTTAGCTTACACTTTACAAAGAGCTTTTAAATACATCATCTCATCGGCCATTTTAGGATCCCTTGGTTGAGTCAAAGGGATTCTCCCTTCCCCTGAATCCTGCTCAGAGGGAACCGAGCCCAAGCCCCCTTTCACATATGCCGGTCCCCACACACAAACACGGACCCATACTTCGAAGCATGCAAGTTACCTGACTGAACTCTTCCTGCCCTGGGGGACTTTGTTTCTAGAATTTGGCTGTTGAAATAAGAGCGTTTTAATCTGCGTTTGTTAGAGAAACTTCCTTTTGGGGAGAATTTTCTCAATCTTGCATTAGGCATTTCATAAAGTCAGGGCTTCCACAATTGAGGGGAAGGCTCAAAATCACCCTGAAGCCACATTAAGGACCTGGTCCTTCTGGCTGTGCCGGCTGACTGCAGCTGGGTCCGGGAGTGGGCGCGGGGCGTGGTTGGCAGAGGCAGGCCTTGGATTCTGTGGGGGAGGCCAAAGGAAAGCTGGTAGCCTGGCAAGTCTTCCCCGAGGTCCGTGACCCTGGTTGCGCGGCTCTCAAGATGGTAGGCCGAGTGGGCTTCACATTATGTGGAGTGGCTAGCTGGGAGTGTTGGCAGTAGAATAAGCCTAGGGTTTATCTACGTGGGTGAGGTGGGCTGACGGCACGAGGGATGGGACAGATCTCAGGAAGACTCCTTTCAGGAGAGAACTTTGGAGCTACCACAAAGACTTTTGGGACCTATCTGGACATTGGCATTGTTTAGCTACAACAAACTCAAGTGAACAACTGGGAAGCCCCCAGAGCCATTTTGGGTGGCAGAGCACACTCTCCTCTTCCAAGCCTGTCTCATCTTTGCCACCAATTCTCTTCCTAAATCAGAGCTTGTCTTGCTATTCCCCTACTTAAAAACCCTGCAGGGTCCCTGTGTTCTAGTCTGCCGTACGTGGCTCTTACTGGTTGAACCCTTGCCTTCATGTCTACCCCCTTGATTCTACTCCCCAATGTGCATCCCACACTCCTGCCACCCTGGACCTCTGACTGTTCCCCATACTGGGTCTTTTCCCTGTTTCACTGCTTTTTAACAGGCCATTCCCTGGAAAGTTCAACTCCCTTTCTTACCCCTGCCCCGGCAAACTCCTATTCATCCCTGAAGACCCAGGAGTGGAGATTTCCTAGTCTGGACAGTGACTTCTCTTGTTTATACTGCCATGAGGGAACTCCTATAATAAAGCTGTTGTCCCATGACTGTTTTTGCCCTGGACTGTAGGATCCTCAAAGGCAGATGTTTCCTTCCCATGAGGAGTAACTTCTGGAGTTAGGCAAACTGGGCCCAAGTCCTGGCTCTGTAATTTATTAGGCATCTGTTCTTGTGCAAGTTCCTTAACTCCTCTGTGCCTCAACTTTCTCAACTGTAAAATGGGTTACTAATGTCTTTACTACAGGGTGGTTTTGAGAATTAAATATGTGTGTGTGTGTATATATATATATATATAAATTAGAATGGTATCTGATGTATAATGTAATAAGTACTAAGTGAATCTATCTGTTAATATTAGAAACACATCCACCATACATACACTAAGTACCTGGAATATAATGTATATTAGTACACATATTTTTAAGTAAATTCTTCCATTTTATTTCTCCCTCCTTTTCCCTCCTTCCTTCTCTTCATCCCCCTCTTCCTTATGTTCTTCCTTCCCTATCCCTTCTTTCCCTTCCTCCTTTTTTCCTCTTGCCTTGTGCTCTTCCATCTTCCTTTTCTGCCTCCTTCTTGATTCTTGGAATCTTTAGCCCACTGTTGGTCCTCACAGAACCACTAGGCTCCTCTGGGGAACCTCCATGCTGGAAGGTCCTCTGAGCCCCACATTTTCTTGCCTGACACTTCCACAGGGGAGGCTCCCAGGGGAAAGGAGGGATGAGTGAGAGACGAGGAGTTGGTGTGGGCAGCTGAGCCCCTGAGCCATCGGTACTAGGCTGAGGGGAGCTGAGAGCCAGGGGCAAGTCTCCCTCATATCACATTCCCTGATATGTAACTCTGTCTAGAAGCTGTCTGGATCCTGGGGGACAGAACAAGACTTGAACACAAGCAGGAAAACCAGTAAAGAACATCTACTTTCTTCCGATGAATAACCTGAATCTCTTGTGTTTCCGCTCTTTAGAAAAGGCATCTAGAGCTTTGCGTCTGGCTCTTCTACTTAATTAGAGATGTGGCTTAAGGCAAGATACAGAGTTTGGGCACCTGGGTGGCTCAGTTGGTTAAGCGACTGCCTTCGGCTCAGGTCATGATCCTGAAGTCCCGGGATCAAGTCCCACATCGGGCTCCCTGATCAGCAGGGAGTCTGCTTCTCCCTCTGACCCTCTTCCCTCTCGTGCTCTCTCTCATTCTCTCTCTCTCAAATAAATAAATAAAATCTTAAAAAAAAAAAGGATACAGAGTTTGAGAGAGGCGTGTTTCCTTGTCTGTGAAATGGGGCCATCTGGCTTTACCCTTCTTATGGGAGCAGGGATTGCACGGAGCAGGGATTACACGGATAAAATCAGGTACAGTACAGATATGCGTTGGAAAGTGTTGCAGATGAGCAAGGCGTTGTGATGACCACTTATGAGGGTGGCCTGGAAGATCGGGTGGCAGAGGCTTGTTTGTCCTATAGCACGATCCTCCCAGAATTTTCCAGGGTTGGACTTCTACCAGGGCTATGGGCAGGCTGGGTTCCTGGCCTTGCTCATCCCTGCAGCCCTGGCTGCCTGCTCTCCTAGTACCGCATTCCAGTGTGAAATAGGCTGGAGGAAAGAGGATGGGTCAGAACTTTCAGAGGAAGTGCCAGCGGTGGGGGCCTGAGGAGGCGGCCTTGACCCTTCTTCGGTTGACTCACCTGGAGAGGGGCAGAAAAAGAGGTGTTTTAAAATGTGGCAAAGCAGGCTCAGATGAAGCCTGTGGCAGAGTTTCGAACAGCCCTGTAGTGGCAGGCAGGGCCAGCCAGGAGGGAGAAGAGGGGTCTGCAGTAGGTTCAGAGGTTCAGACCCTGCTGGCGGCCTAGGGCAGGCGGGGGTGGCGACTGTGAGGCGGAGGCGGCCAGGGTGCAGCGGCTTTTCCTGGAAGGACAGGCTTCAGCAACCAGGACTTAAAAGCTGGGTGCTTTTAGGGAAGAAAAAAAGAGTCATTAAAAATAAGAAGAAACAAAGAAAAATCTTTTCCTTCTCTTCCTCTTATCATTCATTTTCCTGAGCTCAGTAAGCAGGTCTTGGTTTCTGCTGACACGATACTGTTTCATCAACATAAAAACTTCCTTCTTCCTCTTCGGACAGGCTATCACGTCTTTATTCTTATCCTTTTGTTTTAAAACACTTTTATTAGTCTTTTTTCTTAAAATTTTTAACAGCTGTTTATAAAAACGCGACAAATACACAAGACTTGGTAAAAATAACTCACTATATGGTACATATACTCAGACGGTGTGATATATTTATATAATAAAAGATGAAAATAGTCACTTTCCATAATAAAAATAAGTTCTATTTTTTGTTTATTTTACAATATACTTAATATTCTCTTCTGCTTCCTCTCCAGCTTCTACTTCTTCACCTCGAATCTCGAGGGGGTCCCACATGGCTGTCCCAGCCCCACGAAGCTGGAGTCTGAGAGGTGGGGGGCAGGCGGGCCGACGGCCTTAGGAACACTGGAGGCAGCCACACTCTAGGTGTCTTTCCACCTCTTCCACGAACGAGGAGCCGTCGGTGCACTGGAAGACGTATTTCCGCCGCTTGCTGCGGGTGGGCTGGCAGCACTGGGGCCCACAGCCCCCACGACATTCCATGATGGGCACTCTGGAGGCCGTGGCACATGAGGCATAACCTTTCTGGCGGCGGATCACCTCTCGGACTACCTCCCCCCGGCACGGGTTCTCTGCAGAGGGCGGAAGAGGTAAGGTCAGGGCATGGGTGGTACAGATGATCGGCCAGGGTCCGTTCTTGGGCAGGCTGCTGGGATACATTTGTGTGGTGTGAAGACCCTTTGTACTTCTTTCATGCGTCCCTCCATCTGCCCGCCCACTAACCCATCCAGCTGTCCCACAAATACGGAGTGCCTTTTCTGGGCCACCCTCGCTGCTAGATTTATAACTAAGTCCTGAGCGTTGCATGGTGACAAAAGCGGGCCCCGTCCTTTTCTTCAAGGAACTCAAACAGCACACTAGATGTGGCCAAGTACTAGGCTGTGGGCTAAATCCTGTCCCCAAATCTTGATTGTGCCACCTATACTTAGAAACCAAATTAAATGTCACCATTAAAAACCCCAGGTGATAAATACTGGGATTCCTGGCTTTGCTGAAAACCAGGAAGTGTCCAGTTTGGCCCAGTCCCCACTGGTATAGAGTTGAGATACTAATTCTATAATCCCCAAAGTGAATGTGTGCGTAAGGATAAACTGAGGTCGGAGCTACACAGAACAGAACAGGGCCAGGCGCCTGATGCAGCCCAGGGGGTGTGTCTCTGGGACATGCTGCCTGAGAGGAGAGCTGAATGAGGAATTAATGAACCCTGATAGCTGCTTGAATCTTCCACTCCCGCCGTACTGTCCCTGTGACATTGGGAAGAAGGGAGCAAGGCCCTGAGGAGAATGACGACCTTAGATCCCCAGCCCTGCAGCCTGAAGGAAGACATTGGCCATCCTTGAGCCGGTTTCCTTGTCTGGAAAATGGTGACCCATTTCCCTGTTCTTCCTACTGCTTCACAGGGTTACGAGCCTCAGAGGAGACTGAATGAGAAAGGGCTGTATGCATTTTAATGAATTATGGTAAGCATGATGTACTTTCTTTAGATGATGAGCTTGTACACACAGGTACTCACTATCGCTCTTGTAACAATGTGGGGCGGGGGCCGAGAGCCAATGTGGCAACATGGTCATTGGGCAGTCTGGTGAAGGGAACGTGAGCGCTCTTTGTCTTCTGACCAGTTTTCTGTTAAATCTCAAATTATTTCAAAATATGTTACTTAATAAAAATTTTTAAAACCTGGTCAGTTTGGATTGAGAACAGTATTTCAACGACGTATAAATGTGAAAGTCCTTTAGAGACCGACAGGGTGGTCTGCCTAGGAATCTGGGTGCAGGGAGGAAGACTTCTCCGTTTCCACGCAGGGGAAAAAAAAACCTCCAAGGGGAGGTAGATTTGAATTTTGATATAGTTCAGTTTTTATCTTCCTGTATTTGAGCCTATTTCAAAATGAACACACTACATGGGTCAAGGTCATGGAGGGGAGGAGGGGGGAGGAAGGAGGGCCTTGATGCGCTGTGGTGCAGGGCTAATTAGTTACATAGCAGTGCACAACTGCTTCAGAGAGGGAGGGTGTTGCCCCCATTTTCAAGGTGAAGGGACTGAAGCTTAGAAAGCGACGTCACAAGATCCTGCAGCCCACCTCTGCCCCTGTGGCCCTCTCCGGCCCCCTCCCCTGTGCACAGTGGACCCACCTTGCTCGCAGTGCTCCCCACTGAAGCCGGGCTGGCACAGGCAGTAGGGCTCCCCTCGATCTGAGAAATGGCACTGCCCCTGGTGACACTTGAGGGCAGAGCAGGCGCTGGAGTCATTCTTGCGGTCACACGTGGCCCCGCCGTAGCCTTCTGCACACTTGCACACATACGAGGTCCCGGTTGCTACACATTTCCCATGGTTGCAGCTGTTGGCAGAGGACACGATGAGAAGGGGGAGGGCAGAGAGCATGCCGCGGAGGCTTTCTCTGTGCACCGCAGCCGGGGCCCAGGCTCAGAGCAGGGCGCCCAGAGCTGTGGAACCTTAGGTCTTCTCCATCCCACGGTCTGCCCCCTGCTAGCCCAGGGGCCCAGCATCAGCTTCCAACCTGCTGGAGGCTCGGATCACCCAAAGTCAGCTGCCAGCTGGGGCCACGAGGCTGGCTGGCTTGCCATTTTACAGGCATTAGAAGTCACCTATCCAAGTGGCAGGTCCCTGCTCTGAAGCAGCGAAGCATTCTCTAAACGTTTTTCTCTAGCTCTGGCATCTGAATTGATAACAATGTCACTATCACCGTCACCACCCGCAGCAGTGCCAGGCATTGGGCTAAGTGCTTTACACCGGACATCATTCTTAGCCTTCTACAATCCCCCTCTCCTCTGCTGCTTCGATGCCGCAGGTAGTCTTAGGCACATCTCTGAGATGGAGAAACGGATGCTGAAATTCACCGTCCTTCTGCTTGACCGAGACAGGTATTCTCAGCAAGGTGCTCACACACAGTGTCTCTAAGGGGGAGCTGCTGTTGACTGGGTGAGCTCCTGCCCGCTTGAGCAGTCACACTGACACAGGTTCTGGGTATGGTCTGACTACACTCCCTCCAGCTTTCCTCAGTGCTGCTTCTCGGGTGGGGACGGGCTAGAGGCAGGGATTGAGTGCATGCGGGGAGCCTGGGCTCGCAGGACACTGACCTGTGGCCCAGACAGGGGTCCCGGGCCTCCTGGTCGCACAGCGGGCCGGTCCAGCCTGGGTGGCACTCACACATCACGCTGTCCTTCTCCACGGAGTGGCACAGGCCGTGCTTGCACACGGTGCAGGACTTGCAGCCTGGTGACACTCCCAGGGACTGTGGCGGGAGGGCCTTGAAGTCTTGCAGCTCGTTGTTGATGCGCACCTCGTGGATGCAGCCATGGAAGCCACCCAGGGGCCGGTCCGTGCCCTGGCGCAGGGCCGAGAGGCCCGTGGAGGTGGGGATGCCTGGGGGAGGGGTGCCAGGACAGCCGCCTGAAGACCCTTCCCTGCCCTCCAGCCCAGACCTTTCCTCAGAGCGCCAAGGAGGTCTCCACGTGCTCACAGTTAAGTGCTCCCAGCTCTGGGGCTCTGCTGTTCAGGTAGAGGGAAGGGACCAAAACCTGGGACCTTGTCCACACAAGGGCTCCTATCCTTTACCTTGCACTTTGACTTTTTAAAAAAATGTGAATTTGTTGCCAACATTTTAAATATAGAAAACTTTCCACAAAAACCCTTATTTTAAGCTTCTCTAGAAAACAAGAGAAGATCTGGCTTAGCCACAGGGCCACAGTGGCTGGACAGAGGAGGACCAACCCCTCTAGGCAGGGAACAGAGAGTGTATCCCATTCCTCTGCTGTCCCCACCAGGCCTCCCCTGCCCCTTGTCACAGCCCTGCAGAGCACAGGGTGGGAGAGCTAGAGTTTGGGAGAGAACGGGTGTGGGGGAGCAGCCTTGATCTGTGGAACTTTGGGGATCTTCTGTGGGGGAGAAACTGTGTCCCTTCTGGGACTGCTTTTTTTTTTTTTTTTAAAGATTTTATTTGAGAGAGATGAGAGAGAGAGGGAGAGCACATGAGAGGGGGGAGGGTCAGAGGGAGAAGCAGATTTCCTGCTGACCAGGGAGCCTGATGCGGGACTCAATCCCAGGACTCCAGGATCATGACCTGAGCTGGAAGGCAGTAGCTTAACCAGCTGAGCCACCCAGGCGCCCCCTGGGACTGTTCTTGACTGAAGGCTTTCCCTGGGCCCTTGGCACCTGGACCAGCTGTTAACAATGCAGATTCCTGGGCCTTCCAGAGGAGGCACTCCTTGGCAGGGAGGTTTTGGGAATCTCTTTGTTGAACAAGCTGCTCTGGTGACGTTTGTTTGTTTGTTTTGCACATAACTCTTTGAGTACAGGCCCTGGGCTGCATTTCAGGCCCGGGCTCTGCCAGCCAGGTGGCTACTTCCTTTTTGGCCTTCAACTCAAACACGTACTACATGTGTCACCTGAGCCTCACAGTGTCTGACATGGTGGCAGAGCAGAGGGAATGTGACCTGAAGTCTGCAGATGGTGGGGCCTGGACTTGACCTCCGTCTCCTCCCTCCCCATTCCATCTTCACCTCTTCCCACCATTCCCACCATCTTCATCTCCTGAACCACTTGTACTTCCCCAGAAGGAGTCTGTCTTCTCTCCTTTCTCCTCCTCCTTCCCATGATCTGACTGTTTACCCTTTAGGGATCAGCTTGGTTGTCACTTCCTCCAGGAAGCCTTCCCTGATAGGCTTTGGCAGTGGATGCTGAGATCAGGGGAACCCCAACCAGTAGGCCGGGGTGGGTGCCCAAACACAGAGGGTGGGTGGGAGGTGGAGGTGGAGGAGGTGGAAATGGGAGGGGAGAAGGGCCTTACCTCCGAGGTAGAGGGGACTATTGATGCCTACTGCCGGCTGCTTCTGGAGCTTTCCCAGGCTCTTGGGGGCTCCTTTATCCACCACCAGGTTCAGGGTCTGGTTTAGCATCACCAGCTCCACGCTGTGAAACTGCCCATCATTCACTGTCTCCACACTGGGCAGGAGAGAAGGGGCGAGAATGAGAGGGTTTGCTGGGTGCCTCCCAAGCCAGGCACTGGGCCATGAACTTGGCCAGCATTACTTGCATTTTGTTTTATTTTTCATTTGGAGATTACTTCAAATTTAAGTAAGTTGCAAAAGTAGAAACAGTACAGAGAGTACTTGTTATACCCATAGATTCTCCTATCAGCCCCATTTGCTTCATCATTTATTTTGTCTCTGTATCCATCTATGTCCACACACATGCATACACAAATGTGTATATATGTATATACACGTACTTGGTTTTTCTGAATCCTTTAGAAGTTACATACCTTACCCTTATCCCCAGATGCCTCAGTGTGCATTT